GGGAGGTACCCAAAAAGTCGACTTTTTGGGTACCTGCTTTGGTGGTGCTGGGTTGGGTCTGCACTCTTAAGGCTAAGGCTAAGGCTTAAGGCTAAGGCTAACATAGAGCAAGGCTAGCGCTAAGGTTCTATCCCTTGGGGGTCGGCGGCTGCAGGCGGTAGCCTGGTAAATAGGGATGGACATGGATGGACACATCAAACAACATCATAAAAATCTAGTACAGTATCTAGTCCGAAGTGTCACCCAGCTACGAGCACGTGATCTCCTCCTTTTCAGTGCAAATCAGAACACCGCACGGTCTTGGAAGTAAAATATGCATATAACAAGTATGATTGGTTGTTTATCTTTATTGTTTATCTAGGTTAGGTTCGCGGAAATCAAAATAAAGCTGGCACTGTTCCTGCTGTCCAGTTTCTTGAATGATACCTCCATGGCTGATAACTTCGACATGCCAATGTCAAAGTAGATCTTCAAAACACCACAGTCAAGAAATCTTAAGACATGTTAAAGCATCTCACAGAACGTCCCGCCTCATCACAACGTCTGGGCGGCGCGCCCACCCGTCTCCACCTTTTGTTGGCGCATCGAGTATCGCATCGTACGCATCTCAACGGGCCAAGCCAAAGACTGTTTCAGGAGTGTGCTTGGGCCACGGCTCATCGTAATGGTTAAAATCGTATGCAGGCGACATGGTCTGCACATTCCCTGGCGGAAATAGCATTGGGCTCAATCATTTACAAAAAGGAGATCTGAATCAGTCAAATCAAATTACTGTAAAACCATTGGTGCCTGGCAGTGCCTGGTGCTTTCTACAGTAATGCATTTCAACTCAGGCGTGCGGTTTGGGGCTCCAGCGCCGTCCGAATACAAAAAACATGTACTGACAGCTTCCAAGCAAACACAGAAACAAGAACACAGTCGGATAATCCAATGCTTGTTGATGATGCGAATGGTATGCCGTCAATGGTCAAGACTTAACTGAGATGCAAATGCGCAGTCTGAAAAACATGGTGAGCACATGGAAACACGGCTTCGCCCGTGCACCTTTGCCATTGGCTTTTTGCCATAGCAACCTCGGCCAGGTGCAAAAGCTGTGAGCAGGTTTCTGAACCCGGTGGAAAGCGGTGGACAAACAGTCCTTGTTACTAGCAGTATCTTGCTACGAGTAGTATGGCCAGGAGCTACTTACTAGTAGCGTCCTTGCTCCTAATTAGTAGCGATGCCCTTTGTTGCTAGTGGCGCCCTTCTTTGCGCGAACTGTTCGGCCAAGTTGCATGGGAATGGCCGGCAGCTGTTCGGCCACCCGTCGCTTGAGCCCATCCACCCCATCCCCTGCCACCGTTGATCCCACCGTTGATCACCTCTCCTGCCTTCTCCTGCCACTCCAGTTCCATGTGGTCATGCAACCACCATGCCAGAAGTATCCGCGGGGAAGACTGTACCACCCACCTCTCCACCCCCAAATTGACACCATTTAGAATCCGACACAGCCCCACTCAGCCGAAGGGCTGTCTTGAAATGTTCTCGCTCAATGAATGGCTAAAGACTAAAGACTGTGGCAAACATCTTTGCAATGCCAAAGTTTGACCATGCCTAAGAGGGTATTTGTATGAATGAGGAGGGCCTGCATCTGCACCCAGTGGGGTCTACAAGTCCAACACTGCTAAGTGGGGTCTGTAGTGATAGCAATGCTCCGGTCCACTTTGTCAAGAATACACGCCCAAACAACATGAAAGGCCAGCTACTGTAGCGCACTTGACCCGCTAGACTCTTCAAAGCGACCTGGATCTAATGGTCAGAGAAGCACGGGCTCTTTCTTCGCACCATCTCGAGTCGACGGTCGAGCCGAAGGGAAATGCACACGTGCATGCAGCACGGCGACTTGGGTCCAAAAGCACTTTGGACCACCCCGGTCGCTCCGTTCGGTGTACGAATCTGGCATGTTTGGACGAACTTTAGACCATGCCGGGTTTTCGTCACTCCTTCCCCAGCACACTCGCGGTCGGCAGTAAAGCTGGCAGCCTACCAGTCTGTGGTCGGGTCAGTTCGAGGATGGCCGTGTCGGTGGGCTCCGTCTTGCAAACGCAGCAACGTTGGCGTTTGGCTGCGACGTGGTCGGCATGATGTCTCACGCCGCGAAGTTCACGTCCTCCCATGTGGAAGTGAACACAGTATGCGTGTGAAAAGCGGCCTTGCCCGAAGAATGGCCAATACAACTCCGGAAACTGAAGACTTCGCAGCTCCCAAAGAGTTGAACAACTTCTTCCCATTCGAATAGACCGACCGCAACTGGACACCAAACGCCACCACACAAATGGTTCCCCCTTTTGATGCGGCAATGGGGTTCTGAACAATGGGCTAGCAATACAGAAGCTCTTCATGTTCTCGGCTGACGTGCACACTAGCCATGTGCCGAAGAAGCGGTGCAACAAATGGCTTGCTCCAGACTGGAGCTGGCAAAACAGCAGGACAAGCTACATCTGGGCAATAGTGTGTTCAATTCAAGGAGGATCAATCAAACACTTTTGACCCAAAAGCACTCACATGACATGCAACGATACTGAAAGTCGAGGTCAGGTCTCCAGCACTTGACTGTACCCCACGGAGGCCATTGGCAAGGTCCAACTCTATCCATGTTATTTTTTGCAGAAGGGCCGGATGATTCTCAACCAGGCTTGTCCTCTGGCACAAAAAAGTTCTGACTCAAAGTCAAAGCAACTAGCAGTGAGCTGCATTGTTTGGCAGTGCTGCTTGATGCAGCTCAAGGTCATTTGGTACAGGCATCCACTAAACTCATGCCTACGCGAGCTTCTGCCAAAACCGATGGTTAGTAAAGAGGACGTGATTCAACACACATATCGCTTTTGCTGGGCGTTGTTTCAGGCACCAGCCACACTTTCAATATAGCTGAACATATCCAAAAACTGCAGAGGCATGGCTACGTGGTGCTTTTGACGGGGGCCTAGCGCATTTCCATGTTTCAGCAAACTTGTGGTATTTCACGTCCCTTCTTTTCTAAATTGGTCTTGAGTCTTGGCGGTGGCTCATGCAATGCCCCTTTCCCCTGAACCATGCTCCCCCAACGTAAACGCTGGAATTGGAAAGTCGTGCTGAAGTCATGCCTGCGAGATGCAACCCCAATGGCAACATGCAACCTCAGTGCATGTGTCTGTCGAACATTGAACATCCTGATGCTTTGACTGCCATAAATATTCTTACATGCACTTTCTTGAGGAGACCGGACTTCTTGCAGCGATGTCACACAGTTGCTCTACAAAATGTAGTAATCGGCGCGGCGCACCCAGTTTAAAACACATGGTAAACACAACATGCACATTCAAATTCATCTCCACAATTAAGGTTCAAGAAATCCAACAAATCCCATGCATTTATCGAAAATAAGTGACTTTTCGGACAAGGTGCTCCCAATCAAACTCTTGAAAAAGAAATGGGTTTGACTTGAAGCAGTTCCCTGTACCTGACGGGGAGATAGTGTGGACTGGAGATAGCCTGCCAACAAAGACCCGCTCGCGGAAAGCAGGGGTAGGCTACGGTAGGTTACGCAAAGCCCAAGTGAGCGTTCTTAAAAAACTGACCGCAGCGGGATTCTAATCAGCTAGGTTTTTCGCGCAAGCTTTCCCGCTGCTTTCGCAATCCTCATTGAACTTGCTTTCTGGCCACTTTCTGTTCCTTAGCAAAGGTGGAGGGGAAGGAATGCCCACTTGAACACACACAAGTAGTGAACTACCAAACTTACACAACCGCTTTCGCAACAACAAACCCAAACGCCACTTTCTCGAAGCTTTCTCAAGGCGTTCATGTTCCTGGGCTTATGTTACACTCATTATGCTGCCGGGCTGATGGAGCTGTGGCGGCTGTGGCTTTTGATCAAGAGCTGTGCAAACGTTCCCTGTACATGTTGGACTTGGCCATATGTCACACCTCCGCAAACAGGACGCACCTGGATCTGTGGATTCAAGATTAATCAAGGAGTGCCACTTCAGGGCATATTTACAAAACTTGGCGGAGATACTAAAAGTGGGATGTTGCCGACGATGAGATCTGCCTGGAATACTGCCACCATGGTACTCGAAAGCCATCTGGAAGCGCGTCTACAAGCTCAGATTAGCCTACTGGACAGCAATTGCCACTATTTCTCAGTGCAAAGTTCAGAGTCACACCGTGCACCTCACACCCGGATAGCTTAGGCATGGATGGTGCGCGTCTTTTACTCGCTGCAGTTACTCATTTGGGTAGAATGTTTTTCGTGTGTTCACTTAGACATACAAGATTCCTATGAACACCCCGTGGCCGCACTGTCTGAGAATGTTGGAGATGACATTCCAACACTCTCGAAACGGAGATTCTGCAGGAGTCTATGGACACGTTGACCAACCAAATGGCTGCTTGCAAATGTGGCACAGTGGATCTCACTGTGCGTAGTTTGGATGGATTATCTTGCTTCATCGAAATGTCTTGAACGATCAGTGCCCCTGGCGTGTGTCCTGAATACCCGGCCGGCCTGAATCAACCAAAGCTTTGCTGAATGGAGCAGGCTCCTTTGAGTGCACATGCTCAGTCAAATGCATGCACACTCAGCAAATGCAGCTCGCTCCAAGCGTTCGAAGAAAAGCTGAGCGAGCGACATTGGGTTGAGAGAGCCACGTTGACGGTTGTGTGCTGAGAGAGCGGTGACCCCAACATGATGCACCCCTCTTGAGACCCGCAGCCCCAAGCTAGTGGCCTGCCGACAGGAAGGACACGTGTGCATGCGAACTGTCGATGTTAACAAGGATGAGAGCTGCACCTCAAGACACTTGTAAAGTCTCCCTAGATTCACCGCAGTGAGGTCACGCATCAAGCCGACAGCTTCAAAACTCCTGGATCTAAGCTTCCTGATCCTGGACATCAACCGAGCTTGACTTCTGCAGGATCCTGAGCACGGACTCTAATTCGTAAGGCTGGCGAACCATCAGGAGTTGCATCTCTCCGGACGCTGTGCGAGAGACTCCATTCTGAAGGCCGGGCATCTGACAAAACAAGAGTTCTCAATCTGCCACTGAGCTTGAGCAACCTGTGTGTGCACTCAAGAATTCGGAAACAACCGCATCAAATGGCATCAAGAGCCTTGGTATTTTCTGCGTTGAGCTATGACTGCCCCTTCAAATGCCGTGACAGATGTTACCGACTTTGAGCACGATGTGCACTCTCAAGAATCAGTCTGATCCAGGACCGCGTGATGAATCTCTCCCTATAGGTAGTTGGAATCTGCAAACCTACCTGAACCATCCCATATTTTGATCACATGTATTACAAGCAATGCCAAGAGGTTAAATGCTGAACAGCTGAACTGCGAGCAAGTGATCCAGTGCCATGCATCATCCACCTACCTGGGACAAGCAAAAGTTCGATTTGAAAGACCGAACGAGAGCGCTGCACCTCAAGACATTTGTAAAGCCTCCCTAGATTCACCGCAGTGAGGTCACGCATCAAGCCGACAGCTTCAAAACTCCTGGATCTAAGCTTCCTGATCCTGGACATCAACCGAGCGTGACTTCTGCAGGATCCTGAGCACGGACTCTAATTCGTAAGGCTGGC